CCACCAGAGCAAATACAGTGAGACTCGGCCAAACATGCACCAAAAAAAAGTTGTGTTGCTCAGCAAATTAACAGTTGTAAGAAATAAACAAAAGTAATGTGGGGGGTAAAAGAACTCCAAAAATGACTTTGGAGAAAACAGGGTTGACTGAGAAAACTCTCTGAACAGTATAAACAGTAGAAGAGAATGTCTGTCATGGAAGGAGAGGCAACAGAGCTCTCATGGTTATAGCTGCTGAGGGCTAGATCATACAGCTACCCATTTTCTGACAAATCCCTTTGCAGATGCAGTGATTTTGATAGCATTTCCCCATTGTGGTATTCTCTAGCACTCACAGAGCATTGATGGAGCTTAGTCCTTTCAGGTCCGTTCTGTGCTAACCTCCTTGTGCAATCAGAAATGAGTTGGGGGAAGCCAACTACCTGCACTCAGCATCTACAGAGACATTATCAAAGCAAGCACTTCCATTTGCGCTGGTGTACCTGAGACACTCTTGGCTTCTTAATTGAACTCCTGCAGTTAAGATACACATACCTCTCATGGCTCCTTATCCATCACCAGCTTGACTTCTGAAGAAAGGACCCCTAAGGTCTTAAGGCCAGCTTGTCATGTTTTAAAATAACAATGAATCTCCATGACTTTGTGGTCTTCACTGGCAGAAAAGACTCAAGATTTTAACATTGCAGTATAAAAACAGCCTATAAAGTTAAGAAAAGCAAACTACAGGAAGTATTTTTACAAAACTATCCCTTTGATTTAGTTAGAATTTAAGCTGGAAATCTAAACTGCGAATAAAACCTAGCACTGCAGTTAATGGGCCACACAAGAATAACAATGGATCACAATCAAATTATGAAACTCTGGCTAATATCCTTACTTTGACTCTGCAGTGACCCTGTCCGTGTTCTCATTGATTCATGACATCTGTGAATATAATAAACCTTTACTGTTCCAGTTCCTCTTTATTGTTGATTTTATTAAAGAACAGTGAGTGTGACTCTTGCTCTTCAAGGATGGAAAGAAACTTTTTGCACAGCTGTGTTTAAAGAACTGGTTCCTGATGCCCTTACTTAACTACTTGCTTCTGTTTCCAGAACTTATTCTAATTAGGTCAGCCAATAAGATGCTATTAAATGAAAAAAAGGCTGTTAGACAGGCATTCTAGGAAAATCAGTTTTGAATACAAAAAGGTAATCTGTTTTTTAGTTTAAAAATCTCTGCTAATGAGTGCAGTTTGTTTGGTCCTTCTAACTAAACAAAGCAGAAACATTAGAAATTCTGTGTATGTCAATTACAACAACAACCACAAATCCATAGAAATTAAGTCCTTGCAGTATGGTAAATGCATAACTAAAATGATGCATCTGATTCAGAGATTCAATATTTTCTGGCAAATACCATGTCAAAACCAAATCTACTCCATATAACACTGAATGATACAGCAATTGAGAATAACGATAATGTTTGCAATCCTAACAGTTTATATTTTTACATCACTGTTTTTAACTGGAGATAAAAGCATTCGGAAAAGACCAAAAAAGTCTATATTGTTAATAAATATATTTACTGTGCTTTGATATCCATAAGTGAGATATAGAAAATGGGTCTAACATTGCAGAGAACCAGCACATGCATACCTTACATTTATCAGTAGATAAGAAAGTCAGGTGCCAGAAATTCCAATAGGTTGAAGCAAAAAAAAAAAAAAAAAAAAAAAATTGGTGTGGCAGCTAATTGAATTCATTCCTTTTAAGGGTTTAATGGATTAATTTCAAAAGACAGTGGTTCTTTCTTTGATTTGATTGTTTTCATGTGACCACAGCCATCCTCTTCTTAATTATATCTCACTTAGAAGGCTAGGAGAACTCAGAGGTAAATCAGCCTCCAGAAGTAGGAAGAAGGATCATGAAGCAGCAGATTACTCAGTGTTTGTTGCACTTTTGACTCCACAGGAGAGCAGATTTTGTGACATTTGAGATGAAGCGATAGCAGTAATAAACCTCTTGTTTTGATACAGAGATTGTAAAACAGTTATAGAAGCTAGACCTGAAAACTGTGTGTTTCTGGCTTGTAAACATAAGGATGTCAATTATGAGAAAAGGTATGGATGTGAAAGCAAAAAAGAGGGGAAAATAGTATTTTGGTATTTGAATATACTTATATTTCTGTGGAAGGAGTATGGTTTTTGTCCTTGCTCCTTAATTTCTGTCAATAAGGCAGATCTGTACACAGTGTTCTTAATACTCTTTCAAAGTTTTTCATTCCTTGGCAGCACAAGCTAAAGAAGAAAGTAACAAACTGAAAACACCAAGTCTGATTCTGGTCAGTTATTTTTCTTCAAGAATAAAGTTCAAAATGCAGTCGTTTTGGATAAAAACTTCATTTTTACCTATTTCTAATTTAAAAGATTCATGCCAAGGAGACTACATGTATTTCTCTCCCAAAAAATGGAATCCATTGGTTGAAAAGCACATTCACTTTGTTAAAAAGTGGGTGATAATTTCACCACCGGATGATTGCACTGCTTGTTACTAACCCCATTTTTTTGTTTCAGTCCTACCTCAATGCAAAAAGAAGCTGTTCCCCAACTCATACATTGCAAGAAAGGAGAAATCAAAGTTGGTGGCATAAGGCAGTTTGGTGAGGTAGATTCAGAGAATCACAGAATCATCTAGGTTGAGAAAGATCTGCAAGATCAAGCCAGGTCATGGAGGACAATCTATTGGTTGAGATATTTTTGTATGCAACATTTAACTCTGTGAAGCATTTCAGTTTCAATAAAGATTGACAAAATGATTCTCAGCCTAAGAAATCTGCTTTCCAGTACCTTTCTCTGTCTCTGAATGATAAAGGGCAGCCTTTTGAATCTTAGGATCAGCTTCACAATGTGATGTTTTTTGTCATTTTGTTTTGTTTTGTTTTGTTTTTTCTGAAATCAGAGCTGAACATAATTCTGAGCCAGCCTAGGGTCTGAGTGCAAAGATTGCTGTCACAGAATAAGAGTAGTTGGCAGTAGTAGGTGACATTTCCATGAAGACAATAACAGGATATACAGGACATCAAGGACAACCGTACAAGAAAAAAAATAAAAACAAATATTTCATATAAATTGCTAAGTGGTTCTTTTAAACCTACCTGCTCCATTCTGTGTTAAAATATGCTTTATGGCTGCAATGGCAATGTGTCTGACCATGCTTATGCTTCAGCATGCTGTTACATATCATTCATGGGAATAGCACGTATTGCTGTCAACACTTGAATGTTAACTAAAAATCATTATATTCTTTTGCAGTGCATTTCCACTTAGAGTATTAACAGTGGATTACAGTGGATAGAGTAATTTTTGCCTTGAATTTTTTAGTAATTTCACAAGATTTGCATTTGTCATTTAAAAAAAAAAAAAAGAGAGAGAGAGAGAAAATTATATAAAGATCCTAGAAATTAGTGGGAAAGGAACCCTAGTGTGACCAGGAGTTATAATGAATATAATTTGACTTTTTTAAAATTTATAATTCATTTGGGGGAGTCCTTTTCTGAATTGGAGGTTTTTATTTTGAAACTGAAAAAATACTTTTTGGTCGGTCTGACACTGATGAATATCTAAGAGGATGCCAAGAGTTCATTCAGAGAACATTTAGAGAGTGCAAGGCCCCAGATACTTATTTTTTTGCTGTACTCCACAGCTGACTGGAATTCTTACAAAAATAGCATAATTGGTATTTTCAATACTTAACTGAGCAAGCAGTGTTGCTTTTTTGACACACATTTTACTTAATTTCAGTTTACCATGTTCCATTCAGCAGTATCTCAAATAGTTAAAAAAAAAAACAAAACGATATACTTTCTCTAATATACAGCAGACCAAAATTTAGTTCCTTTTCCAAATACTTGAATTCTGAAATCAATATTTAAAAACCCTTAGGATTAAAACTGTTTTTAAAATGTCATAAATAGAACCAGGAGGTAGCCTGGCAGAACCAAGCACCCATCTGTCAGTGTTACTGTTATAATTTATGGCATCTCCATTTCAATTCAGGTACAACAAACACTCAGTAGACACTACAGAGTAGGAGCCAGAATAGTGATATTCAGGTAAGCTAAAATTAGTCAACAAGTTTCAGCCAATATCCACTAAATTCAAGCATGCTATATAACAGAAACTAATTGATTTTAGTAAGATTAATGAAAAGAAAATACTACTTAGTTTAAAGAGAGTTCTGTGTGAATTATAGAATGAACGATTATTACTGGTAAGTCATTATTAGAGCATTAATTATAAGCAGTATTAATTATAAGCAGTATTAATTATGAGCAGTATTAATTATAAGCAGTACAGAACAAGAAAAACTAAGTCTTACAAATACAACAGTCCTAATGTGGAAAAGAATGTACATGTTAATAATAAGTTAGGTTAGAATTGTCTAGAAAATCAATTGTTGTAGTTATGTATCTGTATAAAATCAGCCACCAAAATTAATATTTTTCTGATTGAAAAGTAAGAATCATTCTTTTTTCATAATGAAAGAGAAAGTGGTGAAAAGATTATCATTAAATATATATATTGTTGAGTTAAACAAAGAAGCAATATAGAATATTTAATACGTCTACATGTGGTTTTTGTCACTGGATTTTCTTACTTTCTTCTCATTTTAATAATGACAACAGTATTTTAGTCTTCAGCAAGTTGTTACAGAACTTTCAGTAGGAAAACATACCACATTATTTATACTGCAACAAAGTGATGTTCTATGAATTTTAAACAGTAAAATTTAGGAAGAGTTTATTAATATTAGCAAGTTTATTCAATTAGCAAGTGCATTCATGCAGTTGTCAGTGTAGTCAGTAGGTCACATTAAAGAAAGAAGGCAATTTGCTTTAGGAAGATGATAGTTAAAACTATAAATGTGACATATATGCAAAATAAAACAAGAATTGATTAAGCTGATTTTTATCACTCGGTTAAAGTGCAGAAGCATCGGTGCGTCAATGTCTTTACCTACCGGCAGAGGCTGGATTTCTGTCAGCACTATCACCTCTACAAAACACTGTCAGCTTGGAGCCCAGGGACATGAACACAGCAGGGCAAACAAGAAAAGACCAGTACAAATCTGACTATGAATTATGTATGTCACTGCTGTTGTATACCCAGTTGGTTCAAGGGAGAGAAAGGAGAAGTGGCTCAGAAGGGTATTTCCTTTACTCTGTCTGGAATTTCAGTTAAGGAAGAAGAAATGATACAGCACTTTCAAGGAAAGTAACTTCCTGTCTGTGCCTTAAATTCACTATAAACTGAAAAATAGATGCTGAAAGAAATCAATAGCATTATAGAATGGCTGTGTTAATAGTTTTCTTCAATCATTTTGTCATTCTCTCATCAATTTTTCCATTCAAAAAGCCACAAAATCTAAACACAGAGGAAAAACACTTTCTAACACTTACTATCATCTAGAATAAGCTAATTTTCTTTGCTTTATCCCATGACCCCAGGATTACTCTGAACCTAGTTCATATTCTCAATATATCCTGCACAGTTCTGAAGTAGCTTAACAACATGATTTACTGAGATTTATCTGAGCTTACTGTCTTTTCCATAGCTGGATGCAGAGTAGATGTATGAGAGTTGTATTTTGGTGAAATCATTATTTTTCTCAATCAAGTCCAGATTTTATCCTTACATTTTTGTTCCTATGGAATGTCTCACTGAATCAGATACGTAAAAGCTTGTCAAAGCGAGGAAAACTTTCAGATTGAACACTGATGAATTGAATATTGTACCCAAATTTGGCCTCTGGTTTTAGTTGCACTATTCTTTGAGCTGTTCATATATACCTGATGTCTCCTTTGACAACAGCTGCTATGGTACATAGCTCACTGTCACAGTCAGGGTGGTCTCTATACTGGACAAGATTATCCTTCCCTAAAGACCATGAAATCCCACTACTTGGAGTGCAGATTTCTTGCTGTCACTCTCCAGGGATGATCTCTAACAGAAGTACTTAGGTTGTCACATTAATCCATACTTCACCAGCCCAGCTAAATTTAACCCACATTTTCAACTCCCAGAGCAAGATTTTCATGACAACAACTGATTTTTAATTTTCCCTTCTAAATGCATACTTTATTTTATATATTGTTTCTTCAAAAACCATTTGTAGTGCAATTGAGTAGAAACTTATATTTGACAAGGCAACTGAAAAGATCTTGCTGAACTATCTCCTTAGCCCCCTTTTCTGCTGCATGAAGAAGGTCTCCATAATCCTTGAATGAAAAGAGCATATCTGTATCAATGAAAGATACTCAAGTCACCTTAGATTTGCAGATGACATTATCTTATTTTCTGGAAAGATCTGAGGCAATGTTCTGCACTGAACAAGGGCAGAAAATGTTGACCTTGGATGAATAGTTGCAGAGTAACAGTTTTAATACAGTTATGAAAGAAGGAAACACTACAACTAAGAAAAATTAGAAAAGTTAGACCAACTAGGTAGATTAGGCTGACAATGTAAGTAGAAAAAAATAGGGTTTAATTAAGAGCTGTCAGGAGACCGAACAACAGAAGGAACATTAAGTTCAGTCTCCTCTTAGAACAAATTTTGAGTATCCCTGTATTCCTACCCAGAATTCTTGAAAAATAAAAACCAACACCAACAATGTAGGAAGAAAAAAAGTAGGGAGCAAAGGGAAGATAAGTCTGCCACCATAATGAAAACCAAATAACCTTAAGAGAAGAAAAGGAAAATCTAGATATGACAATTACATAATTGCCTAGGAAGTAAACAAAACACTGAACAGACAATGCTGGAATATAAGCAGAAGTTTAAACCATATGCAAGCTTTCTAGTGGACATCTTAATTAGGTGCCAAGTCTAAAACTGGTCCTAGCAGTGAGAAGCATGCGCCCGTAATAAAAGTGAAACACCGCTGTCTGAGTTTAACTCACACACAAAGCCAAACATTCTGCATGTTGATGTATAAGAAATGCTTAACTATCAAGCAAAACAAATAAATAGAACTTGTTCAACATAAAAACTCTTGGATTCAGAAAACCCTGGTTAGCTCACTGTATATTTGCACTGAACAAAGGGACCTGATGTCACATGTGAAGCCGAATGGAAGAGTACATCATCCAAAAATTCCTTTGCCAGAATAGGCTGCAGATCACATGAAAGTTTGCCAGCAAAACAAGAAAATGCTCCTAGCAGAGCTTTTGAACCTCTTATGGATCAAAATTAAGTCTAGTTGTTTTGTTGGTAGCATTTCTTCCAAAATGGAAAATTTTGGACCACACAGTGAAGAGGTTGGTAAATACTTTCAATTTCTAACTGCTTCATTAAAGTAAATTCCTGTATATACTTTGTCACAGGTAAGGCCATACTGGAAGAAGAGTGTCATTGTTTAGAAGGCATACACAGAGAATTACTTGATCTGGGTTCTATGTGAGTGTGCAAAAACTGCCGTGGATTGGAGGAGAAAGGTGTTTGATGAGTGCTGTGAGTGACATCTGATTTGGCTGCGCACTGTGTTTCAAATGCAGAGGAGTGAGGGATCCCAGAAAAGTTAAGGTTGAAAATAATTCAATAAAACCCACATAAAACTCAGTATAAAACAATTTTCTCTCTCAGTCCCAGAATATAAATTTCAATATCTGTGTCATGGGTGTTCATTTCTAGCAGGATGTAGGCTTCAATAATAATTTAATTTTATAAGAGAGATTAACATAATTAATAGTTTTATATGAGTTCAAAGCTATGTTAGATGGGCCTTCAGGTAAGCTACCTGGTATAAGATATCCCTGTCCATGGTAGAGAGATTGGTCTAGATGATCTTTAAAGGTTCTTTCCAACCCAAATAATTCTTTAATCCTATGATTAGAACAAGAAGGAGCCTGCACAGCAACAGGAAATATATATGTTTATAAGGAAATATATGAGTTTATATATGACCTTTCATAGTGACCATTCACATGATCGAGGCATAAATTTTAGATTCTCTTTTACAGCTGTATAGTAAAATCAACCAGCATTAGAATAAAGTTTTAAAGGTTTGCAAGTTAGAAAAAAAAGTCACCTTCTGGAGTTGTGACTTTCTCTATTTATAAGCAAGTTGAAGGCCATCCCTTCATCCTCCTGAGTCTGAACTCAGCAGCTTCAACAGTGCAGGCAAGATGGAAGGTAGGCACAAAAGTAGTAGTTGATAAGAGGAGAGATGAAAAATGAATGTGCTTAGCAGATATTAATTCACAAGAATTACCTTTTTCCTTCCATTTTTCTGATCCTCTATAACCCTTTGTCATTGTGTAGTTTTTGATTTCACAGAAAATAGTTATATTTAACCCTTATTTCCAGTTTCAAAATTTAACCCTAGTTAAGAATATTCTTTCTCACTTTCATCTTGAATTGAAGGGGATTGTAGGGAAGAGAGGAAGGAGAGTGGAGTGACTGTTTTTGTCTAATCGCTGCTGCAAGAATGTTTAATGTTTGCTAATTCCTTCCTAGGCAACTATCCAGCAATTAGCCCCCATTTCTCCCATTTTGTCCTACCAAGATGTTTCACTGATTTTAGGGAAATATTCACATGAACAACTATCTGTTGGATTTAAGCTCTGAGTGGTAACTGTCAAGAGCATCCTGTATTAGAGCTATGAAACAGATCTTTAAAACTTGTATCACTCTTCAGTTGTGAAACAAAGCAGCCATATTTTATGCCCTATTTATGTTACTAAGAATTGATCATAAAAAGCTTTTAAAAAGATTTGCACACGTATTTGGAGATGTATGTCTTGGAAGAAATAAGATTACAAGTTGGCATGTCTTGGCTTAAGTTAACATCCTTTAATCACCAGACCATGGTGTGGCTCCACTACACTGGGTTCTTCCTGAATGCAGAAAAACAGTTCTGCCATTCATAAGAAAATCCCTCTTTCAACATTTGCCAGTAATTTAAATTACAGTGGACTGGCACTCACGAGCTTTGTGTGTTCAGTCCCTGCACTTGGTATAGTTTCCCTACACAGTCTTGAGCAGAATGTTACATCTTTGCCTTGATTTTCCTTAGAAATTGTGAACAATAATATTTATTTTTCACAATTTCACTATTACTTCTTACTTTGAAAATTTTTGGACAAAGATTGTTTTATTTCCATTGGGAAAATGGAACCTGCTCTTCACAGAAACATTTGTTTGAAACACACATAAAAATAACAATAATTAATATATATATATTAATGATCCCTTAATTATCCACAGCAAAAAAGAAAAACGAAGTGTTTTTTCCTTCTAAGGAAGACATATGGCTTTGAAAGTATATATAAAATGTCAGTCTTTTCTTTTATGCAAAAATCAGTTTATTCCTGTTAGTAGCCTGATAGTTCATGGACAAAACCAGATGTACAAATACTTTCTGTAGCAGCCTATTAAGAAATAAATGGTTGCATCACAAGAAAAATCATTGCAGCCTAGATATTTTATTTAGAACTAGTGAAATATGTTTGGCCTAAGTGTAATATTAACACCTTTGCAGGGTATTTTTTAATCTATAAACATTTGACTAAACTATACAAAAGTCTGGATTCATTCCTTTTTTTTTTTTTTTTTTTCCCTATCCTTTTATTGATAGAACTTGATATTTCTGTCCTTAACTAGAAATGTCTTGCCTGCTCATGTTTATGCAATACAGAATTTTTGGAAGAGAAGAAAAGAGGTACTGTAACATCAGAAGGAAACATCAAAGGACTAGTGGCAACATCTTAAGGCTTTTATCAAAGTAGTGAGGGAATGCATTAAAGCAACAATATATGTAGCTTACAAATGATAGGACTGTCAAACTCAACAGCGTGTCTGATGAACATAGAGGACACAATTTATATGCATTCTTTGTTTTAAAATAAAGATTCAAACAGTGATTTTGCTTTTGAAACTGTGAATGAAACAACAAAAAAATAGACAGGTCTTCAGGTTGTGTCAATCAATGCAGCTACAGTGGAGCTGAAGGCAGCCAAATCCATTTACATCGGATGACATGTTAGAATTTCCTATATTTTAAAGTCAATGTCTTCAATATATATAAATATATATATAGGACTTTTTATTCCTTTCTCCTTTTTATAACTATATGAAATTTGGGAAATTGAGCACTG